TTCGTTCCTACCGTAGATCTTATTAGGCACAATAAGAGATTAACAATAATAACTAATAATAAAATAGAACAATTATAACAATATAGACTGTAATAAAAGTTATGTGACTGATAGAAGATTCGTTCCTACCGTAGATCTTATTAGGCACAATAAAGATTTAACAATAATAACTAATAATAAAATAGAACAATTATAACAATATAGACTGTAATAAAAGTTATGTGACTGATAGAAAATTCGTTCCTACCGTAGATCTTATTAGGCACAATAAGAGATTAACAATTTATAACTAATAATAAAATAGAACAATTATAACAATATAGACTGTAATAAAAGTTATGTGACGGATAGAAGATTCGTTCCTACCGTAGATCTTATTAGGCACAATAAGAGATTAACAATTATAACTAATAATAAAATAGAACAATTATAACAATATAGACTGTAATAAAAGTTATGTTACGGATAGGAGATTCGTTCCTACCGTAGATCTTATTAGGCACAATAAGAGATTAACAATTATAACTAATAATAAAATAGAACAATTATAACAATATAGACTGTAATAAAAAAGTTATGTGACGGATAGAAGATTCGTTCCTACCGTAGATCTTATTAGGCACAATAAGAGATTAACAATTTATAACTAATAATAAAATAGAACAATTATAACAATATAGACTGTAATAAAAGTTATGTGACTGATAGAAAATTCGTTCCTACCGTAGATCTTATGTAGAACAATAAGAGATTAACAAAAATAATTAATAAAATTCATTCTTACTGAACAGAACAATTTTTATTTTTTCTTCCTTTATTAAGTAAAGTATTTTTCATTTGAAAGCTTTCACTTTGGAATGTTCGAAATGCCTTCATCTCTACTTATGCTTTGGGACCAATATTAAATAAAACTTATGAGTTATTTATTCTTGGGTTTGACTGTGGCTAAGTCAGGCAGGGGGGTAGCCATTGTAATTCATTTGAACAGGTTATCACAGCTGAAACTCTGAAATTTGTCTTTTTACAATTAAAGTGAAAATGCGAACAGGAAGATAATAATATAAAAATTGTAAAGTTCCTGGAGTTTGTCTACTTTAAATTCATTGTTTGGGATTTACTGAATATTACAAGTGGTTGTACTAAAGTCTGTGAGAATTTAAGTGAAATATGTTGTGTGAATAACAATTGGTTCCTGACCATTGACAACACCTTTTATTTTGTAATGAATTTCTATAATAAATAATTTACAATGCATTTGTATTGTAAAACACTAATAAAAAAATCATATATATATATATATATATATATATATATATATATATATATATTCTATCAGTAATGCTTGCATTCATTCCTGACCACTGACAATGGGTTTTTCTTCCTCATTTGCAATGCATTCCTATAGTAAAACATGCTTTACAAAATAATAATTATACATATAATAGCCCTATTCTATGAGTAATGTTTGCATTCATTCCTGACCACTGACAATCCTTTTCTTCCTCATTTGCAATGCATTCCTAATATATTAAAACATTGCTACAAAATAATAATTATACATATAATAGCCCTATTCTATCAGTAATGCTTGCATTCATTCCTGACCACTGACAATCCCTTTCTTTCTCATTTGCAATGCATTCCTATAGTAAAACACTGCTACAAAATAATAATTCTACATATAATAGCCCTATTCTATCAGTAATGCTTGCATTCATTCCTGACCACTGACAATCCCTTTCTTTCTCATTTGCAATGCATTCCTATATTAAAACATTGCTACAAAATAATAATTATACATATAATAGCCCTATTCTATCAGTAATGCTTGCATTCATTCCTGACCACTGACAATCCCTTTCTTCCTCATTTGCAATGCATTCCTATAGTAAAACATTGCTACAAAATAATAATTATACATATAATAGCCCTATTCTATCAGTAATGCTTGCATTCATTCCTGACCACTGACAATCCTTTTCTTCCTCATTTGCAATGCATTCCTATATTAAAACATTGCTACAAAATAATAATTATACATATAATAGCCCTATTCTATCAGTAATGCTTGCATTCATTCCTGACCACTGACAATCCTTTTATTCCTCATTATTTCCTCTCTTAATTCCTTTCAGTTTACCAAAAGAGTGACTCGAACAAGTACTGTTTCCAATTAAACCTGTTGATGTCAGTAGAAGATGAAAAATGTCTGGAGTTAACTGAGAGAAAAGTCATAATCTATCAGGATAATGTTAGAACCTTTGATAACCTGACAAAATTTGTTCAAATTTGGTTTTAAAGTTTTCACTCATCAACCATATTTATTAGATATTGCAGCTTAGGAATATCATTGAATTGAGTCTTTGCAGATGTAGGACAGTTGTTGACTTGAGTTTTTGCAGAATTGTCTTAATGGAAGGACAAATACCCTGGAAAAACTGCAAAAGACATAGCAGTTCACTGCTTAGAAAAATAAATTCTGGAAGTATATAATTATGATGTTGGCTGACAGATGTCAGAAGATAGGGACAAAATAGCTGTTTAATAATGTTAATGTTGAAAAAAAAAGTTTTATTTTTGCTTAATGAGCTAAAGGTTTTTTTTGTTTTGTTTTTTTTTGTACAACTTGATATATTATTCAGTAACATTAATGTTGGGAAAAATATCTTTACTTAATAAACCAAGCAGGCTTTTTTGACCTAAGCTATTGTCAAGAATTATAAAGAAAAGAAATAAAATAATTAAACCAAAAGGAAGTTTCTTTTATATTTCATTTAACCAAACAAACATTTTGGTCAGCTAGCATACTGCCTCCTTTTGGCATCACAAACTGATGGAAGGATGATTAGTTCAATTGAAGATATTTGGAATGATCACTAATTCTGTTGTCATTCTTTTGCAGATCTTCTGGCCTTGTTTTGAAAATATTTGGTTAGTGCTTTTTCATCAAGTTACATTAGAACTATTCAACCAATTAGAAAACTAAAATTCATTGCCTATCCCACAAGCTAGCTTCAGAATTTTGCAAGCTAGTCCAGAAATGCATATTAATTGTAAGGGAACTGTATATCCACTGCTGAATAGACAGGAAATTGAAATATACCTAGTTGGCAAATGAAGTCTTAACAATCTATATGTTAGTGCTGAAAATTCTTCAGCCTGACAAGGGATAATAAATTCAGATTGATTATTTGGTCATGTTTTAGGAAGTGGGTCAAGGCAAGAACATTTAAACCCACTCCTAATACATTTCAGTTGCTTAGTAGAAAATAATGGATGAGAAGATGGTGGAAGGGTTAGAACAGCATTTCTCAACATTTTTTCTCTTGTGCCACCCTTGGAATAGTTTTCATGTTTCAGGGAATCCCTGCATAAAAATGATTATATACAATTATTAATATTGATCTCTTTTATATTTTATTATAATAACCAAGGATTTTAGTATAGGTGATAAGGAAATTGAAAATAGAATAGACCAGTTTTTCTCAACCTTTTTACTCTTGTGGAACGCTTGAAATGGTTTTCATGTCTCTGGGGACCCTTGTGTAAATATTATTATATACCATTATTAATATCTCTTAATATTTTAGTATAGACGATATGGAAATTGAAAATAGAATAGACCAGTGTTTCTCAACCGTTTTACCATTATGGAACCCTTGAAATAATTTTTATGTCTGGGTGAACCCCTGCATAAAAATTATTATATACAATTATTAATATTGATCTCTTTTATATTTTTATCATAGTTCACATGGTAAACATAATATATGGACACTGTACATACGTGAGTCATTCAAGGATACACGAATCTGTATAGGTCCAGTGAAGTCAGCTTCACATTGACGCCATATTGATGCTGCTAAATACATTCCTTATGGTTATTATAATTTTAAATAATATAAGAAGTTGAAGCCTTTATTAAAATAACCAAGGATTTTCCAACAGTATGCTGTACGTATATAGTAAAATTATGAATATAAAACTAAACAAAAATTCCTCCAAAATGCATTAGCCTATTTATCACTGTTTCTTGCGGAACCCTAGGTTTCTGGAGAACACCAGTTGAAACTTAGAACAAGAAATTGGGAAACCAAATTCAAATTTTAGTTGGTTTTGTTACTTTCACTTTAGCACTAATAATCTTGGGGAAGGTAGGAATCTTCTCCTAGCTATATAAAAATATAAATAGCAGGGCAGCCATGGTTGGCTGCAAGTATAGGAGAAGGTTAACTCTAAATTCAAAGCAATATATGAGTCTCTTGAGTGACACTATTAAACTGTAACTATGGTCTGCTCAGCATAATTACTATATGAATCACAGGTTGGCTGTGTGGCTGTTGAAGAAACACAAATGAACCTGAGCAGTTTGGCTTGTTTGGAAACGAGTAGTTATGCTGATAATGAGAGTATGTCTTCAAGTCAAAACAGCACTGATGATAATAGGAAATAATACGTACATTTAGGTTTCTTTTTGATTAGACGTAATTATATAAACAACTGCAATAATTTTCAGCCTCAATCGGAACAGCTGACTTATTTGATCCTCTGTGTGATAGGTGGCAACTTCATTGACGTAGAAATGAGGGAGATAACGGCAAAAATATTGACATCCTGTCAACTGACATTTAATGCTTTTCCTGACAAAGGAAACTTGAATTAAATCTAAAAGCAGATTGTTACCTGAAACTTTACTGAAATCACCTGCAAACTAGAATTTGACTATATTACTGGTATTTACCTGTAATGCTTTTTTTTTTTTTTTTTTTTTTTTTTTTTAAAAAAAACATTATAAAATTTGTTAGCAATCCAGCAGTCTTTTCTTTGTTTCTGTGTGATATCCATCCTCTGATAGGAACTTCACTTCTTGTCTTTTGTTATACTCATACAACACCACAGAGTAATCACTGCCTTGAGTGGCTCTTGGCTGAACATTAGTATTAAAAAAAATGTTTATGGATATGTTTTAACCCATTAATGCCCACCAAAAACAATTCAGTTTACGACCATATCACATTGAAACACAGGTTTCCATATAGTCTCCAAAGTTAAGCAGCATCAAGCTCAGTCAGTAGCTAGATGGGTGACTGCTTGGGAATACCAGGTGCTATAAGCTTGCAGGTCATGTAATGAATAATGGCTCGGTATTGTTAATTAGATAACTGAGTTCCAATTCCCACTGGGGTTCTTATATGCAAATGCCCTTGGGAAAGATATGAAGCCACCTCTTCCTCCCAGTAAGATTTGTATCACTAAATTGTTATTATAACCCCCAAAAATTAAAAAAAAAAATCCTTACAGTCTAAAAAAAAATATTTCCTGGCTTTAAATAACCTGCAAAGGATTCATAAGCCATAGAAAAGAAATCAATTGAATACTGATCAGCTACCCAGGCATGTCTGATTTATTTTTATTATCTGGAATATAAATGCATAAAAATTAACATGGCCACAAAGAATCAGTTTATATATTGATTGTAATATTGTATTGATCCCCCACATTATACTCACATTATTTTTTTTTGTTTATCACATTCTGATTAGATATGAATCCACCTCTTCTCTCCCAGATATGGGTTAACTAGTAAAAGTTGTATCACTAAATCATTATCTCAAAAAATTCTTACAATCTAAAAAATATTTTCTGACTTTAAAGGGTTGATAAGCTGTAGAAAGTGAATAAATGAAATAAATCCAGTAGTAGTTATAAAAATATGGTATGAGTCATAGGTTTCTACTAATAATATATCAATACCTACTGTCCCAAAAATGGGACCATCAAAGTTAATATGGCTGTCTCATTTACATAAAATAGAAAAAAATGTAGAATTTCTATTGGCTCTTATTGTATCATCCCTTAAACTAATGTTTGTATTATTATTTGTACTGCCATTGTATACATTTCAATTTGATTCTATTTCATTAAATTCTAAATCAGAATCTGACATAATGACATTTTAATAATACAATACCTTTCATTGTCTTAATGTTGTTGACAAACGTTCATTTTTATTTTTCATTCCAAGGAAATTCTATCGACGATTTTGTTTCAATGAAATATTGATTAGCAATGGCTGACAGGATTGTGTTAGCCACCTGACTGTTTAGACATCTGGACCATAATGAATTTCATCCTGGTTTAAAATACCTGAATGAAACAATTAATTATGTATATCATTTATCTGATATGCCTTTTTTCTGTAATGTTAATTAATATACACTGATTTTGTTTGTGATATTAAATAGTAATGGTAATATTAGCTGTTTATAAGGAAACATTTGGTATTCATTGACAGAGCAGTTGGTTGAAATTTATAAGCTTTTTCAGTCCAGTAGCTGTTATTGCTTTTTCTAGTATTAATGAGGTTTTCTAAAGTCCAGTTGCTGTTATATCTCTTTCCAGTATCGCGAAGGGCTTCATTCCTAAATTTTTATTTGATGTAGCATCTAACATCAGTATCTTGATTTTCTCATTATTTTCTCTTCGAGTTACATATGCTATCCATTTTAGCTGTTGCTGCTATTGAAAGTTCTCAGGTGATTTGGTTTCTGTTATTTGGTTCAGTTCTTTGTGATTCTGTAGTGCCAGTTCACAAGGTTCAAAAAAGTGTGGTCTTCAAGATCTATAAGCTTCACTTGCACAAAGCCATTTTTAGCTGTTGATCTTAGAAAGTGGTTATATACACTTTAGATGTTTTTGAACGGGGTCTGACGCCCTGCATGACATCCGTATGAAAGTCTCGATCTGACAAGGCTATTTAAGAACATGACTTGAGTTTTTAGGTTAATATTTTGGTTTTGAAGCAATTTGTGGTGTTGGGTGGAAAATAAAAATAACCTCATAAGGGACTGAACGTCCTTCAGGCCTCAAAGTTTTATTCTTGTGTGTAGATGTAAAGTAGATTGAAGATTATGAGTACAGAAAAACGGCAAAGGCTCACTTCTCCCTGTGTTCTGGCCAGTTCCTAGATATCTTAAACCATTTATTCATCACTATTTTATGGTTTGGGAATTATAAGAAATGGTTTAAAAATCTGAAGCTTTCCAAATAATTGCACATTTCTGGTGCTTATAATTGGTCCTGTAACTGATGTTAATGCTGTGTATTGAAATACAGTGCTACACAATTGCAGGCACATTCAGACACTCTTGGACTTTTGAAACTTGCGATTACATTTGGGTGCTTCTAGCCTAAAAGGGTTGATGTACTTAATTCAATGGTGAATAGTCATGATATCTGTTGAAAATTATACAGTGAAAATTTCAGATCAAACTTCAGCTAATAAGTACATATTATGCTATAGTCTTATTGATGTGTCATCATAGTAGTAAAATGTAGTTACACCCATTATCAACCTTGACAGGATTCATTTAGTCATGACTCAAATCTGTTTGATAGTAAGAGAATAAGAACATTCAAATTGGCATCACTTAAGAGATATCACTTTTCAAAATCAGGAAAAGATAATGTTTATCTTGATAACGACTTAAATATTTATTTCTGGGTTAGCTTTCTGTAACTCTTAAAAAGCAGGCATCCTCAATTGATGTTTTAAACATTTTTTCTTCTCAAAATATGGACATTATTCATTCTCAATGACTAACTGGCAACTCTTGGTTGACATTACTATTTACTAGGATTCATTCATTTTCTGGGGTATTTTTTTTTTTTTTTTGCTGTTTACAATGTTGTTCACTGTACAAGGCCCAAAATCCACTCTAGGTAGAGGGTACAGAGTAAGAGACACAGTTTATGAAGATATGTGGAAGATAACAGTTAACCTAAAAAGGTTAAGACTATAGTGATCGGGTGGGGGAACAACCTCTTGGGACACTATTTACATTGCTCAGACTATCATCCTCATCTTTGTTGCCATATTTATCACAATGTTTTGGCTGTTGTATGCTCTGGCCTTCTTCAGGTGGTTGGAATGTCAAACTGAACCCTTTATTTCACTTGCTGGGTTAGACTGTTCTAGTTTCACGTGCCATATCTAGTGGATGTCAGTTATCAGTTAATTCCTCTCTCCAAATTCTCCACTGCTTTAACCAGGTAGTGAACTCACACTCTGAAGAAGGCCGGAGTGTACAACAGCCGAAACATTGTGATAAATATGGCACATATGTGTACATAATACCTCATCTCAGAAATATAGAGAGAAACCTCTTGGGAGTAGTTTTCACAAAACAGCAGTTTGTGAGAAGCTGATTGAATGGAACTTAGATCTCACCAATAGAATATGAAGGGAGTGAAGGTCGTTTGCTACAATGTGTATGTCATGGCGGACCTTAGCTGTGAAGGTTAAAACTGGAGCAAGTATGGAATGTAGTTCGTCTGAACTCTTCTCATGGAAATAACGATAAAACAGTGAGGGGTTCACAGCACTTTGTCTGTAGAAAAGAGGTTGTAGCTTGGGAAATAGAGATTGATATGCTGCTGAACAAAAACGACTAACCAATCAACCAAATCAGGTGTAGAATCGATATAGAAAGAGAGTGCTGTTCTTTTATTTTTGGCACTTTTTTTTTTTTCCAGCTAGTGTTTACAAATCTTCAGTTTTCAGGGATTTAAAAAAAAAAAAAAAAAAAGAATTGGGACACTACCTGAGAGTTAAGAGAGAGTTGTGGGTTTGGTTAAAAGGCTAAAAGAATAAGAAAAGATGAAACGAATCCCTCCCGAAACCAGTCTGCATGGATATAATTAGATGAATAGCTTGCCAAAATCTTATTGTCTACCATTTGACTTAGCTTGTAGTTGGCTAACTGATTCAGGAATTAGATTGTAATTGAATAACAAAAAAATACTGTTTTCAATAAGCTTGTTTGGCATATAAAACCAGATACAAATTGTAGATTACAAGTCTGATATAAGACAGTATATTATTCTTGTGATTTAACACAGTATAAACTGTTTATTTTTTTTTATTTAGTATATGTAATATAAGAATAGTTTTCAGCAAATTTCAACACACACACAGACACATATATATTAGATCATCCAGTTCCACTACCTTACTACATTTTATACATGTATTCAACACTTTTAATGCTAATGTTTCTTTCTTTCTTTTTTTTTTTAATACTATTTTCTGGTCTAATTCAACTCTGACCATTAATCTTTTTATTATTATTATTATACATAAACATACTTACATACACACACACACACACACATATATATATATATATATATATATATATATATATATATCTGATGCAATGAGAATGAAAGCAATATATAAATTCTAATGTTCACAGCATTAATCCAAAACAGGGCTCAATACCGATAGTAGAGCGATAATTATTTATTATAATTTTATCATATAGGCAAAAACAGTTTACTCACTACAAAGATGCAACAACAAAAAAAAATTTCTTCTAACCTGTCGAGGTGCAATTGAAATGCACTGAAATGAAGTTGCATCTTTGTAGTGAGTAAAATGTTTTTGTCTATATGATAAAATTATTATATATATATATATATATATATATATATATATATATATATATATAATATATGTAATATATGTGTGTGTGTGTGTGTGTCATCCACAGGAAGCCTGTTTTGTTGTATCACAGATCATCAGTGTTGTTAGACATCCAGTTGCTTCAAGTCAGGATCGAAATGCAACTAATTTGACACCAGTCAGAGACTCTTACCCCTAGGCTATCGGTGCATGTCATAGAAAGGAAATTTTTTAACACATTATATATGTACTATATAAATGCCATACTGACCGGCATAGTGCTTAGTTCTTACAAAGAGCAATGCATTAAAGCTGCAACAGCTGTTAAAAATTACCTTTTCTCTATAGTGCTCAATTGGCAAACAAGAGCATTATATATATATATATATATATATATATATATATATATAAAAATATAGTTTTTAGGTTTGTAAATATAAAAGTGGACATTGAGGTTAACACTCAATATGACAGTCTTTTTCAATGTCAAACACAATCATCAGGCCTGAAGATTGTTTTTAAAACATGAAACTGTCGCTACTGAATGTTGACTTCAATGTCCAATTTTATATTTACATACACTCTGTCCCTGCTATTGGGCACTGTGACTCATAAATATAGCACGCCTTAAAACTATATTTTATCG